CAATGGCTGAAATGATGAGGATGAGGATGACAAAACCAGCATCACGGTTGGGCCACAGGGTCTGTCCCTTGTGGTTGTCATGGCCAACTGTTCTAACGTTCTGCTGCTTTTCACACCTGCTCTTTGCAGTTTGTGGTAAGCCTGCTAAGTGAACTATCTCAGCTCCACAGTGTTTTGTTTTTCTCTCTTCTCCCTACAGAGCTGAGGAAAATGTCTACGAAAACAAAGCAATGGATCCAGAAGAGCGGGATTCGGACACCAAGATATAGGGGATCATAACGGCATGTAAAAGGCCTCTAGGGGAGGAGAGGACCAGCGCCATTACAATGACTGAGTTCAGTAGTTACCTGAAAAGCCTGGACAAGAATTTCCAAATTCAGCTATTTTTTTTAATCACCTGCACATCCCTGCTCAGTGACCCCTCGAAATTACGTAGATGAAAGCAAAGCTAGCTCATAATAGCAACAGAAGTTGCCAGGGAAATGAGAGAGTCAAAATGGGCACAACGGTCGATGTGGCATCTTAATTACAAAGAGGCAGGAGGACTTACATCACAGTTCTGCATTTACCATCTTCACCATTCTGATTCTGCCTTACAAATGCTACCCCTGGTGACTAAGCGAATACAGGTAGTCCTCAACTTACAACAGTTCATTTCATGGCTGTTCAAAGTTACAATGGCACTGAAAAAAACGACTTATGACCATTTTTCACACTGATGACCACTGCAGTATCCTCACGGTCATGTGATCAAAATCCAGATGTTTGGCAAATGACTTATATTTATGACGGTTGCAGTGTCCCGGGTCATGTGATCAGCTTTTGCGAACTTCTGACTAGCAAAGTCAAAGGGGAAGCCAGATTCACTTAACAACCATATCACTAACTTAACAACTGCAGTGATTCACTTAATAACTGTGGCAAGAAAGGTCATAAAATGAGGCAAAACTCAAATTAACAAATGTCTCACTTAGCAACATCAATTTTGGGCTCAGTTTTGGCCGTAAGTCGAGGATTACCTGCATATGTCTGCACTGCTCTCTTGGCGATAATGCAAGAGTGGTTTGCAATTTCCTTTATTTGTGGATACTGTACATGTTTTCTGAGCCTGCCACTATGGTCTCCTATTCAAGCTAGCAGGCTTGAGTGTTTAGCATCCAGGCCTAAGGTTAGATCAAGCCATCTAAATTCACATCGCTGTAAGAATGAACAGATGAATGAATGAATAAATCCGTTAAACGGTCTTCTGCAGAAGCAGTTCGAAGTAAGTTGCTTTCTTGCAGTCATCCATCTCTATTTGTTTGTTCTAGGTTGCTCAGCTTTTGCATTATTCTTTCTTTCTTTCTTTCTTTCTTTCTTTCTTTCTTTCTTTCTTTCTTTCTTTTTGTGGGAGATGATAAAAAGTTCTCTGGAACTTTTTGAAAGCTACAGATAGTTCGTTGTGGTAAAAGACGCCCATGTTGAGAAACGTTCCAAGTTGGGCTTGTGAAATAAGAAAAACCTGCATGTCTGCCATGTGCAAAAAGATGCGGGAATGAAGCAATCTTTTTCGCTGAGGTGTCCTGAACACCTAAAATAAACACTGTGCTTCAATGAAGATCCCCAGGCCACATGATGACAATTTACACCTTTTTTTTGCCAGAAACCAGCATTTACTTCTGGTTTCCAGCAGTACTGAAGCTGGCTCTGCTCCACTTTATGTTGCAGACGTGTTTGCTTAACGTCCCCCCCCCCCAAAAAAAAAACAATTGTTGTAAAATTAGGTCTATTATGTGATGATCTGCTTAATGACTGGCATGACTTATGATCATAATTCTGGGCTCAATTACTGTCGTAAGTCAAGGACACAAAGAAGAGGGAGTCAAGCTATTCTCCAAAGGACCTGAAGGCAGGACAAGAAGCAACGGATGGAAACTAACCAAGGAGAGAAGCAACCTGACAGAACAATTAACTAGTGGAACAACCTGCTTCCAGAAGCCGTGAGTGCTCCAACACTGGAAGTTTTTAAGAAAAGACTGGACAGCCATTTGTCTGAAATGGTATAGGGTTTCCTGCCTGAGTAGGGGGTTGGACTAGATGACCTCCAAGGTCCCTTCCAACATTATTGTTGTTGTTGTTGTTGTTGTTATTATTATTATTATTATTATTATTATTATTACTACTACTACTACTACTACTACTACTACTACTACTACTACTACTACCTGCATCTGGCAGAAACCAGATTGTGGGTGCAATTTTACTTGCCCTTCCTTCCTTCCTCTTGGATATCTACGGCAGTAGGTTCAGCCATGACATATTAAATAAAACTCAGCTGCTTTGTACAACACATCACACGGAATACAGTCACACAACATAATTAGTACAATAAACCGCATTTCAGTTCACTGTGTTACTTGTAATGCATGAAGGTTATCTAATAAAGGACAGGCTGCAAAAATCTGGACTGAAAAAGAACAACCAAAAATCAGTTTTCTTCTCTTTGCTGCAATCTGCATCTTTTAGCATTGGAAGCCATCGTGCAAGCCAGGTATACATGTTCGTGCTGAATTGGATGCAACTTATTTTCAGCAAGTTCCTAAGGACTAGAAACTTGAAATGGGACTGCCTTCTACAGTATCATATCCATGCTGATGGGAAACACTGGAAGAGGCACCTCGGGACAAGACGCAGTGGCTTTTAAATTCCCTTTTTCCCTAGCAAGCAAGCAAGCATGAAGGCTAAGATTCCAAGCCAAGTTAAAAGCGTTAGTAGAAGCGTTGTAAAAACAACTCACTGACGCTGAAGTATCATGAGACCCATTTGAAACACAGCATTGTCTTCAAGGGCTTCACACATTTCCACACTCTGGAAATTAGATCTGTATGATCCTGTGTTAGATTTCGCTGAACATAAAGCGGAGCAGAGCCAGCTTCAGTAAGATGCACGGAGTCAATCTTTGTTAAGGATATCTGAGTTAGATTCCAATATTTCAACAGGTGTTCTCACTGCAACTGATAGCAAAGGAAGTACTTCTGAGAATGTTCAGACTGGTAGTTGGTCTGCCTAGTGCAGTGATGGCGAACCTATGACATGTGTATCAAAGCTGACACACCACAACCTTTTGGGTGGCAGCATTCACCAACACCCAATACCAACTATTCTTGAAAGCACATTACATTCTTGCACAATTTTCAGAAGCTCTGGAGGCCCCATGAGCGTGGGATGTGCTCTTGTGCAACCTCCAGTATGGTAATTTTTAATAGTCTGGTAAATATCTACAAATATAATCCAAACAAAAACTCTTAGGTGGGGGCTGAATAATTTTCAAAAGTGAAAAGAGGCCTCAGGAGAAAAAAGATTTAAAGACTTCAGATGAAGCCCATTTGACAACATTACCAACTTTTCAATGGAGTCTGCGCTCACGTGCCTTTCAGAACAAGTCCACTTGCACAGGGGCCAAATGAGGAGTCTATTTCCAGCTTTAAGGCCATGGGGACCTCAGATACTCGGAACTACAACCTCCAGGATCCATTTGTATGGCAATGCTGAGACAGGAGTGTACAGTACTTTAACTGAGCAACATATGCAGGGGTTTAGGACAGTGGTTCTCAACCTGTGGGTCGGGACCCCATTTGGGGTCGATCGACCATTTCACGGGGGTCGCCAAGCAAGGCTGTTCGCCATTTTTTTTGTCCGCCATTTTTTTCCCCCTTTTCCGGCGGGTGCCTTACCTCCCTTGGGCTGGGCCAGCTGGTGGTCAGCCTGCTCCGTCTCTGCCGCTTGCCAGCTACGCCTCGGCCAGCGCAGGGGGCGGAACCATGCATGCGCGGCGCTCCCGGGCAGGGAAACTCCTCGACTTACGACCGGTTGGGTAGTCCTCAACTTACAACTGGTTTAGTTATCGACTTAAGACTGGTTTAGTCCTCGACTTACGACCGGTTGGGGTCGCGGCATTAAAAAGGTTGAGAACCACTGGTCTAGGACAACTCATTGTGGCCAACACGCCAGAGCCAATTCAACAAGGCCAACTCACTCTGGGACAACTGTTCCTTTTATTATTCCTCAAAGCATTAAAAAAAAAACTGGTAGTCATAGGAATGGTTTTCTTTGATACAAGAGATGAAATAATTTGGATGGTCAACAAAAATAAAAGAAACTAAAGGAATCCCACGGTGAGTTGGCCCGCAGCAAGTTGGCTGCCCCGGGGTCTCTATCCAAACGAAGAGGTGAAAATTTTGGGTTTCTGTGCAAATCTAAAACCCACGAATAGGGCATAAACCTGGCCAAAGCTGTGGAAGGGGCAAGCACAGCCAAACTTTTGCTTTCTCCGGAGAAGCTGGCAACTCGAGGTTCAAAGAACGGGGCCCCTGGAATCGGAGCATGGCGAGGGCTGATCCACAGAGCGGCCGAGGGTCGGACACGACTGAACGGCTGACGACGAATCGGAGTCCTCGTTGATGCAATTTATCCTGGGGGGCGATTTTGCTTTTACTGGAGAAGTCGTCAAACCGAAAGGCGGAGCGAAGGACACGAAGCCGGCTGAAGGGCTAAAGCCGAGTCCTCCTTTGAGGCGCGGCTTCTTCGCAGTTCAGCCTCTCCATTGGCTCCATCCGCGAGGCCGTTGGAGGAGGCGCGGCTATCTGCCCCAAGGCGGAGCCAGTTGGGGGCGCCGCGGTGCAGACTAGGTGGTAACGACGCCGGCCACCAACCTGGGGTTTCCCCGGAGCCGATAAAAGCGGTTCTGCGGCCGTATGGCTGGGCTGTTCCCCTCAGTAGCTACGACCCTCCTTGCTTTTCCCGCTTGGCCCGGACTTGGGCGCCTCCCCCGCGCGCTCCAGCTGATGCGCCCTGCCGGTGCGCTTTTACGCACAGCTGGGGCCATCGGGCTCCAGGCCCCGGCGCTGTGAGGCGCGTCTCGCTCCTCGCCTCCCGGCAGGATGGACGACCCGCCGCCGCTACCCGCTCGCGCCCGGCTGAGTTACTCGCTGGGCCATTTCCTGAACGATTTGTGCGCATCGATGTGGTTCACCTACTTGCTGGTCTACTTCCATTCGGTGCTGGGCTACAGCACCCAACATGCGGGGGCGCTGCTGCTGGCGGGGCAGGTGGCCGACGGTATCTGCACGCCCCTGGTGGGCTACGAGGCGGACCAGGCCGGCGGGTGTGGGCGCTACGGGCGTAGGAAATCGTGGCATCTGGCTGGTAAGTCAAGCTAAAAAAACAAAACAAAACTGGACGGGCTTTGCCCCGGCTAGACGCAGGGGGGGAATGGGGTGACCGGAATTTGAAGAGGTGGCGCTAAGTTGGAGTAAGCTGTTAGGAAAGAGAAAGCGGATAAACAGGAATGAGGAGAAAAGCCTAGGATCGATGAAGTAGCTTCACCGGATCAGTGATTTCCAGGAGCGTGGGCTATTCAGGGGTAGTCAACCTTGGCTCTTTTATGACTCGTGGACTTCAACTCCCAGAATTCCTGAGTCGGCATAGCTGACTCAGGAATTCTGGGAGTTGAAGTCCACGAGTCATAAAAGAGCCAAGCTTGACTACCCCTGGGCTATCTGGTGTGAAACAAACGAGTAGAGCATAAAAGGAACAACCCTGCCCCGGTTTTATCTTGGCAGCTTGAAGATGCCGGCTGGGGAATTCTGGGAGTTAAAGTCCACACATCTTCAAATTGTCAGGGTTGGGAAACACTAGTTAACAGTGATTTGAATCTCTCCAAATAAATGAAGCATCATGCTGATATTGCTGGAGATTCATGTATTTCAACATCATGACAAAGACCAGTTGGATGCTGCTTGAGCGCAAGCAAGGTTTGCAACAATTCTCACTGTTCGTGTAATTTTTAATTCTAAATATGAATGTTCTGTTTGATTACAGATGGGAACTCAGGCTTATGGGTAGAAATAGGGGTATATTAGAAAACTGGGCTTTAACTCTGGGCAACTGGTGGCATGAAGACAGTCAAGACACTCCAGTTGCTTGGCTTCCTGTATCTGTTGTGGACAGTGTATTATCATAGAGGCTCCATTTGGAGAGTACATCCATTAGTCTTCAATAGATTAATATACTATTATTAAGAGCAAAATCCTGCTTTCCCCTGAGACACAATTCATTTCATTGCCATGTTGTCAGTTGGCTAAAATGATTTTTCAAAGCATATTAGGCAAAGTCACGGATCTAAGATATTATAGGGTCTCCTGCTTGAGTAGAGGGATGGACTAGATACAGAGGTCCCCAACCTTGGCCACTTTATGACTTGTGGACTTCAACTCCCAGAATCCCTCAGCCAGCATGGCTGGCTGAGGAATTCTGGGAGTTGAAGTCCACAAGTCATAAAGTGGCCAAGGTTGGGGACCCTTGGACTAGAAGACCTCAAGGTCTTGTCCAACTCTGTTATCTTCTGATCTTCTAATGCCAGCTAAGTGTAATCTCCCTGTTCAGGTATAACCTATCCTTAGTTGCGACTTGCTAGGGGAGAGCACCAGCTGAGGAAAGCTGGTTACTGCTGTTATGCTTTGCTCACGTGTTTGTGGGGTGTTAGCTGATCTCTACATTCACGGATGCTTTAAATGATCTCTTGCTTATCTATTACAGCAGAGCTCTCTCCAAATGTAGAGATAAGTAACAGCTTAGTTTCCTTCTGAACTGTTGAGGGTTTAAGTTACTATTGCCAATCCTCTTCTTTATGCATTTAAATTATTTATATGGCGGCCCATCTTACAGCAGTGATTCTAACTGGCCTATGCAGTTAAAAACCAACAACAAAACCAAATAATAAATGTCTGATGTCGCCAACAGCCGGTTCTAGGCTTCACAGTAAAAACATGAGTTAAGAGTTCACATTAACTTCCCAGCCCAAATGTTTGGAGGAAGAGCCAGGTTTTGAATGCCTTGCAAAAAGAATAAGGTGGGAGCCATCCAGATCTCTGGAGAGATGTAGCTCCACAGGGTAAGGACTGTAATAGGGAAGTTACGATGTCTGGTTCCAACAGGATGACATTGTTAATGGAAGGGACCCCAGCACAGCCTCCCTGATGGGGTGAGCAGAGATGATGGGAGACAGGGATACTGTTGCTTTGTGATGGTAGCTCCCATTAATGAATAGTGCTTTGTCTTGAACAAGGCTTGCCTTTGTCAAATGTGAGCCTATAGCCAGGGTGCTTTAATACAGTGGCTCCAAGCTTGCAAATGATAGAAATGTTGTGTTCCCCTCCCATTGCTTTTCCAGAGTTGGAAATCCCCAATAATTATAGCAAAGCATCTTGATCAAGGTACGGCTCATAGCAAATCAAGAATCAACACAAGAGCTGCAAACCAATCTCATCAAATGCTTTCAGAGCCTAGTAAATACAAATGTCAACACTAGTACAAAGTGCCTAATAACATAGGATCTAAAACAGGAGTTCCCAACCCCCGGTCTGTGGACCGGTACCGGGTCGCGGCATGCCAGCAACCGGTCCGGACAAACAAGGAAAGCCCCATCCACAGGATGCAGGCAGCACACAAAACCACGCACTCTCCGATCCATGAAAAAACCTCTCTCCACAGAACTGGTCCCTGGTGCCCAAAAGGTTGGGGACTTCTGATCTAAAACAATGCTTTCGAATAAGACTCAGTGCGTATACGTCCAAATTATTTAAAAAGGTATTAATTTGGAACTATCGGTTAAATAAGAGATTAATAGATTCTATACCTATGCCCTAGTGCAGTGATGGTGAACCTTTTAGAGACCGAGTGCCCAAACTGCAACCCAAAATTCACTTATGTATCATCGGGTGCCGGATGGGTGTGGCCCATTGGGTGGGTGTGGCTGTGGTGGTAACGGCAGACTGGGTGGGACTAAAAAGTTCAATCAATCAATTCCAACTTTGCGAGATCTTTTTTTTCCCGCAAGAAGTTGAAATTGATTGATTGAACCTTTTTTTTTTTTTGCACACGGCGGCGGAGGCCTAAAGCGAAAAAGTTTTATAAAACCCAGCTGAAGGCCTAGGACTGGGGCGACAGCGCACGTACCCACAGAGAGGGCTCTGCGTGCCACCTGTGGCACGTGTGCCATAGGTTCGCCACCATGGCCCTAGTGGCTAGTCAGATAATAAGGACTTGTTTTAAAGGTCTTTACATCTTTTTTTCCCCCTCTGATTGTTAACTGATGATTTGTGCCATCAAGTTGGGATTGATTCTTAGATTCTGTTTTAGCAACTATTGCACTGAATGTAAACTCGTACGCTTATGAGATTCTTGGAGATTGTAATTTGAATAGAATCTTGATGAGGATTTTTTTTTCCAGGCCGAGTCAAAATGTTGGAATTAATAAAGCAGTTTTTTTTTTTAAGCCTGCCTCCTGGGTTGATGGGAAGGAACTCATCACATGCCCAGAAGTGCCAAAATGCTTACATGCAAAACTGACTTAATTTTGTATTGATTTTATCTTAATTGTATCTTAATTAGTTCCTTCATTATTTATCCTTTGCAGTTGCCTTGGAGGGATGCCCTTTTAGTTAAAAGGTATTTTGCTTGCTTACAGACTAAATGCAAGACTAAATGTTCCGTTCTTGTGAAGCAGACACTGTCCGTTGTCTTCTGCAACCGGCATTAGAATCTACTTTCTTTTCTGTTGTCCCAAAGGCACTTTTTCACAAGGCAACTGGATTTCCTTTTTTCTCTTTGAAGATGCTTTGCTTTTCACCCAAGAAGCTTCTTCAGAGCTTCTTGGATGAGAAGCGAATCGTCTTCAAAGATAAAAAAAGAACGTCCAGTTGCCTCGTGAAAAAGCACCTTTGGGACAACCCATGACCTAGATGACTTGAGAATCTGCATAGCCTTTCTTTTCTGTTGTTGTTTTAAATATTTTGGTGTTTTGTATTTTAACCCTTTTTCAATAAACAAAAATATTTTTGCAAAAAAAAATGCTTTGCATGTATAGGGCATGTATGAGCTTAAAATAAGTGTACGTTGCTATTTTAATATGTGTGATTAATATGATGATTCCATGGTAACTTTATAGAAAAGGGCCATTCTTCTTTTCTTAGATGCAAGATGAGAGATTGGCCACTGCAGTAGAATATCTGGTCCTGGATCTCAGTAAACACATGACTGAGTTTTTTTATAACCTTTCCTCCTGTTACTCATTTCTGTTTCCCTTCAGTCACATGCTAGAATCTAGAATCCCAATTGCATTGTTCCTAATTCCTGGATGTTACACAAAACAAGCTTGATTCTTGAAGGTTTTTTTTTCCTAGTGAGTCAGCAAAGCAAAGATTTGGCAAAGGTAGTATCTTTTTGCTTGGCTGTAAAAATTGAATAAATAAATAAATGAGTTGTCCTCTTTCCGTTCTGCTTATTTCCTAATCCCTTGCAGAGCAGCATAAGCAGAATTTTGCCAGAGTGAGCCAAAGGATCTGATACTCATTTCTGTGGATTATTTCCTCCCATCATCCTTACACAGAGTACAACATTGTTGTGAGGAAGGCTAAGAAAGCCAGTTTGGTGTAGTGGTTAAGGTCCTGGCTTAGAAATCAGGAAACTGTGAGTTCTAGTCCCGCTTTAGGCATGAAAACCGGCTGGCTGACTTTGGACCAGTCACTCTCTGTCATTCCCACTCACTTCACAGTATTATTGTAGGGAAAATACGAGGAAGAAGGAGTATTATGTGTGTTTGCTCTTTGAATTAGTTATAAATTAATAAATGTGGGATAAAAATAAAATAATCAGAGAGACTTTGGTTCAGTATTCTTGGAGACACAGCTGTTTCTTTTAGGTATTGTGCAAGATCTAGATGCAAAAGAGATAAATTTGATGCTTTATTGTTTAACTGCTGCTCGTTTGCTGATAGCCCAAAATTGGAAGAGCCCAATTCTGCCTACAATGGAAGACTGGAGATTGAAAGTTTCGAATCTTGCTGAAATGGCAAAGATCTCGGCTTATTTGAAGAATTATTCGAATGAACAATTTTTATCAATATGGAGAAGATGGATTGTTTATATTCAAAAGAAGCATAGAGTGGTAGAATATAACTTAGGTTTTTAGAATTTTCTTACTTTGTTTACTCTTTCTATCTTTTCATGTAGACTAAGATATTTTGTGGAGTTAGAGATATTAGTATTTGTTTACTTATATATGAATATTATCCGGGGAATAGGTTTGGGAAGTCCGGGGGGGGGGAGTGGGGGATTTTATTTTTTACTCTGTTTATTGGATTATGA